TAAATGTATATACTAAACCAACTAGAGGTGAACTTGGACCACCCCCCCCCACCCCCTCGAAAACGCGGACCCCCTTTGAGAACGCAGATCTGTATAAAGTTGGTACGAAAAGTCATAAGTATTGAGCTTTAGAAGTCAACGACTAACCCCCCCCCCCCCAAATTGGTTTTTCGGAAAGGACTCTTTTTTTTTTTTTTTTTTTTTTTTTTTTTTTTTTTTTTTTTTGCTTGTCAAGAATTTTCTAGGTTGGAATTTTTTTTTGACTGGGGTGGACCCTCCTGCAAAATATTCCTGGATCCGTGCCTGCACTTATCACTCATCCAAGTCTGAATTTAAAAAATGGCTTATTCGTCAAAGAAAAAATCATCATTATTAATTATAAAAGGGGCAATGTTGTTTTGAAACAGACAGTAAGAAAGAGAAAAACAGAGTATATATACATGTGTGTTAGAGACAACGATCACTGGCGTTAAGGAAACAATTTTTATTACAACTACAGGAGTGTTGATGCAGTCCACAGGGACCCGAAACGGGGATTTAAGAAATACAGCTTACATGTATATGGCCAAAGTGTGCTAAACAGCACAAACTGATTGCGCAGAATAACGTCAAGATGAAATTGATGGGGAAGTTACATATTTTCGAGATAGAGTTGTTATTTATATTTTAGTAGGGGGGGGGGGGGTACAGAGATGTAGGTTATCCACACCTAAGGTGCATGGGTACATATCCATTGAAAATTATGGAAATTTTCGCTCAAAACATGTTACATGTATATATGTACGGCATTAGATATTTCGGCATTTCCGTACCCTGTGCTTTGTCTTTGTTCAGACATCTTCATAAATAAGAGAATGAACATGACTAAATCAACTCATATTTTAATAATTAAGGATTAAATATGAAAAAAATATATAATATATACTTTTTCTGGTATTATTTTTTTATTTTAAGGGATTTAACCTGGAATCATACTTTCCGTTTTCCGTTCCGTTCCGCTTTCCGTTCCGTTTTCCGTTCCGCGATTTAGCAACACCCAGTTCTTGTAGCCTTCAACAGGTTACCCCGTTCCTTAAAAGTTTTGATAACAGATCTGCGTGTAGATTTGGTTACCCCTAACATCCTTTAAATCTGACTAATCATTTATCCATTTTTCATTAAATAAATACTAAGGTATATGTCACAATGAATATATATTACAATAATCAACATGTCAATTTCAAATTTAATTTCCCCGTGGCACAATATCCAATCAGTCTATTGAACATTTACTTCTCCGACTTGAAGACTATCGACCAAGTAATTCACCTAATAATATGAAGCAAATTTATTCATATATTTATGCTATACATTAAATGCTTTAATTGCAGAGATAGAATGAAGAATGATTCAGTGGACCGATTACAGTATATCAGCTTCACAATTGCTAAATACAATCCAATTCGACTTATGCATGGATGTTTAAAATTTAATTGTAAATTTACATTGCCAAAATAGTCATGTACTTAGAAAATAATTTCAGGTAAGAATTACAATAATAAACAATAATTATTAAAACACAATAGTTACATATCTTATCAAAGTACAAAAATCAAAGAAAAAAATTCACCTTGAACGTCTTTACCAACAAAGTTGGGCGTATCTTATGTGATACCGCTGGTGTCCCAGATTAATGTTTTTGTGCATTTTCTTGGTGAAAAATTTATTTTACAAAACCGTATATTACAATGCGACCCTTTGTTTTAAACTCTGCAAAAAAAAATTATCTTTAGACTGAAAATATGTCACACTACAACACAAGGAAGTGCTTAGGATGAATAAATGCCACATATTATTCTGCATAAAGATAACAAAACTTCTTGTGGAGAAAGCAGCATAGGGTATACTTGACACTCACTTTTCTAAGGCCAAAATGAGGTCAAGGTCAGGTCACAGTGAGGTCAAGGTCAGGTTACAGTGAGGTCATGGTCATCTAAGTGGGTCATATCCAGGGTCAGGTCACAGATGTCAAGGTTATGTCACTGATGTCATGGTCATCTATGTAGGTCAACTCACGGAGGCTTAAGTAGGTCAGGTCAAATAATAAATCAGGTCATTGGTTATAGTGTGACCTACTCTTTGTATGACCTGACCAAGTTGTGACCTGGCTTGTTCATAATGACCTAGGACGGTTTTTGCTGACCTGAATAGTTAATATGTTAGGTCAGCGTACTTCCATATGATACATGACCTATTAAGTTAACCTGACCTACTATTTCTACTATATAAGCTGAGATCGACAACAGGACATTTTTGCTGACCTAAATATACGCGAGTATGTTAGGTCAGCCTTTTCCTCAGAATACATGACCTATTAAGTTGACCTGACCTACTAAATTCCACTATTTAAGCTGAGAGTGATAATAAAATATCCATGAAAGTCATAGGACTCCAATATACCAATGCAAGGTATACTAAAGGTAAGAAAAACATTTTTCCCCATACAATTGAATAAAAAAATAATCCTGTGCAAATTTCTTCTTTTATTTAAAAATAAAGACCACGACATGAATGGATAATAATAATCAACGAGGAGACATGATCTAACGCAAGAACATACAAAATGCAACCTCCACTTAATTATATACATATCTGTCAGCTTTAATACATTTTGGACAGCCTATTTGGTCAAATAAGAGATTTTTAAACATTTTTGACAACTCTTTAAGATATTTTTTCAATCTAAAGTAACAAACTGCACTCTTCTGGATTTGGGAATAACATGTATCCAATTCCCTTGCTACACGTGTCTACTGCGAGCCAAAATTCTATGTCAAAGCGCGGAAATGCCAGTGCCGGCTCTGTAGTAAATGATGTTTTAATTCCCGTTTCGCTGATTCTTGTATCTTCATCAGTCCAAATGTATCTTGTGTTGGATTTGAGAGTTTATTCAGGGGGTTAGCCACTGCGGAATAATTTGATATAAACTTCCGAAACAAGTTAAAAAGTCCAAGAGCACGTCGAAATTCATTAGCATTCTTTGGTGTTGGTAACGTTTCAATAGCCTGTAACTTGTCAGATGGGGGACTTATTCCATCTTTGGATATCACATGCCCAAGAAATGTGCATGAAGATTAAGCAAATACACTTTTTTTTTATTTATCTTAAGTCCTGCGTCTCCAAGGCCAGCAAAAACTTCAAGATCTTTGATATGTTCCTCGAATGTAGACGAAGCTACTATTGCTTAATTAATGTAACACAAAACTGAACGCAAAGTCATGCCGCTAAAAACTTTGTCCATCAACATTTGTGAGGAGTTTGGCCTGGTTTCCAAACCCTTGAATTTGTAAGTTCCAAAACAAATATTCAAAGCCGTGTATTTTGTCGATTCTGGTGAGGTACACATTTGAAAAAAACTGAATTAAAATCTATACTGCTGATGTAGTGTGGAGTTCGCTCCGAAAAAAGATTTACAAGTTCTTGTAAGATCTGAAATCTTGACTGTGAATTAAGGTATCGAAGATCATAACAAAAACGGTATGAAATAATGCTGTAATCTTTTATAATTTTGTCCGGTTTTTCGGTGCTTTGTCAGCAGGGACCAGTACGTACTGATTATGTAATCTAATTCTTTTTTCACTTCTGGATTATTGAATACAGAAGGATAGATGGTTTTCATATTGCCTCTCAATCTTTTAATGCGCGATTTACATATAAGATAAGTGAGCCTCAGCCATTTCAGAAACTAACAACTTTGTAGATCTGGGCTACGACCGTGTTTAGAAACCTAAATGAGAACGGTTATTTCACACATAAATATATACCATGATTGTGACCTGTATTTAAAATATGAATGACCTAACTTTAATATATGAACTTGAACTTTAAATACTTAATAGGGTATTAGTGTCTTATGTAGATGCCATGAGGCTGATGGGGCACAACACTCACCTGAGTCATCTTAACAGTCAGCTTAAGGTTTTGCCAAAGGTCAAGATGTCCAAAAAATTATTTTTACAATAGCTCCAAAATTATGAGGTATAAAGTTAAAACTTCTACAGTTTATAAATATATCATTGATTAACAGATAGAAAGTATCACTTAAAAACAAATATTTAAAAGAATATTTTTTGACAAAAAAAAATTTCAAAAAAGTTGCATATTTTAATAAGAAATGCACCTGCTTAATTCTGTACTTGTAGTGAAAACCATCATTGCAGAAATAATATATTTCTATCAATGAAGGGCAAGTTGGACGTGAATGGCCTCTCTCATGTGAGATAAGGCTAGGTATTGGCGATTCTATGCAAATGAGCTAATAAATACGCAGAAGAGGTATATTTATTATTCAGAGAAGGTTTTTATTTATTTTCTTATGCAAACTTACTATCCACGATATGTTATAGCCAGTACACATTATGACGTCATATTATAACGTCACTGATCTAATCACATCAACAAAACAACGTTTGCGCAAGGTATAACCCTTTTTATTTTTACATAAAAAGTGTATAATGCTAAGAAGAATATTCTACAGATTAATAAAATCCTTAGCATTTTCTCATTTGATCGGAATTGTAAAGTAAATGGTTCTAACACGTGTGTGTTCTACATAAGTTTATTCCAGACCGGCTAGTAAACAAAGTGCATAAAGATATAGCATGCAAACACGTGGTTACAGAGTGCACAGGAGATAGGGATAATCTCAGAATACAATATATACGTTACATCCCCCTTCTTTGAGAAACATGTTTTTCTTAATTGATATAATAATCATTTAATAAGAAATAAAACATTGAAAATTACTTAAGAGTCCATGATGCCTAATTGAAACTTTTGGAGATAGAGTCTTTGTTTTACAGTTCCTTTTCCAATAGATTATATCTTACACTGAACATTCACTTCACTTAGAAAGAGGTATATTTACAATATATACAGATGATGGTAATACAATAAATGATCATGTGGCCAATAACAGCAAAGAGGATTATTATGCCTCAACACTTTTGCTGTTTCACTTGTCACTTGTAGATCTTAAAATCTTCAAAACGTTTTGGCAGTTTTATTTGTCTTGTAGAGCGGCTGATGGGAGTAATTTTATCCGGTGATGGTTTGGGGTTCTCTGCTGATGGTGGCTTATCAGTCATCACATTATCAAAGTTTGGGGGGTCTGCTACGTTGTTCTCAATGAATGACTCATTGCTGCGCCGCAGATGTTTCCTGTTTCGACGATAGGTGCGACCATCCTCTGTAGTAACCTGATATGAGCGGATATAAACTTTCTCGTCAACTTTTGCCTTAGTCCAGGTTTTTTCCTGTCCAAAAGGTCGAATTCTCACGGTTTCCCCGATATTAATCTTTGGTAGGTCTTTAGCTGTTCGGTTATAATAGAATTCTGACAGAGATTTCCGTTTTGCTAATTGCTCTTTGACATTTTTCGGTAGGGATGGTTTCAAAAGTTCAGATTTTGTCGGTAGTAGTGTTCTTGTACGACGTCCCATTAGTCTCTGGACAGCAGAACTTCCGATGTTTTCTGAAGGAGTGTTTCTCCAATCGAGTAGTGCCAAAAAAGGGTCTTTGTTGTCTAACTGGCATTTTTTTAAAATAAAGTTTTTGCAATTTTCACAGCATTTTCTACCTTTCCGGTAGATTTTGGGTATAAAGGTGATGAAGTTATATGATTGAACTCATAGTTTTGTGAGAAGCTTGAAATTCTTTGCTACCGAAGGGAGGTCCATTGTCTGAAATCAGCATCTCAGGAATTCCATGTCTAGCCATTTGGGCTTTGAGCTTGTTTATGACTTCCTTTGATTTCTTATCATGTAGACGGTCAATTTCAAAGAAATCTGAATAATAGTCAACAGTAATGAGATACTGTCCGTCATCAAGCTGGAATAAATCAGTTCCTATCTTTTGCCATGGTCTGTCCGGTATCTCATGAGAAATGAGAGTTTCTTTACCTTGCTCACCTTGTATGGTAGCGCAGACATGACATTTCTTAATGTAGGTTTCGATATCCTTCATCATGTTCGGCCAGTATAGAGATTCTTTGGTCCTGCGGTAACATCCTTGGATTCCAATGTGGCTAGAATGTACCTTTTGTAGAATTTCATCTTTCAATGTGAGTGGAATTACAATACGGTATCCTTTGAAGATGAGTCCGTCCTGAGAAACTAATTCATCTCTAAATGTATGGTAGAACTGTATGTCAGGTGGCATCTCATCGCGCTCGGGCCAGCCATCTTTGATTATTTTGGATAGTTTTAGCAAAATTTCATCCTGTTAAGTTGCAAGTTTTATTTTTTTCAAAGTATCCGATGAGATATTGGCGTACTCGCTCATGGTTATGGATTCAGCATCCTTCTCTGATTTTGAGCGATCGGTTATTGCGAGTACTCGATCTTCTGAATCATGTTTCTGTAGTTGATCTGTAGGAAGGTAGGCTTGACTCAGTGTGTCGGCAAGATACATTTCAAGTCCTCGTTTGTATACAATTTCGTAGTCAAACTTTTGGAGACGTAAGAGCATTCGTTGCAGTCGTTTTGGCGCAGATATTAGGCTTTTCTTGTTGATTATTTCCAATGGTTTGTGGTCTGATTCTACCTTCACCTTACGTCCAAGAGTGTAGTGCTCAAAACGTTCCATTACGAATAGGACAGCAAGTAGTTCCTTCTCAATTTGCGCATAGTTAACTTCGGTCGGAGTTATTGCACGAGATGCATATGCCACTGATTGATCATTTTGAATGAGACAGGCTCCCAGTCCACGTTCAGATGCGTCACACTGTACTGTTGTTGGTAGATTAGGATCAAAGAAGCGTAGTACAGGGCTTGTAGTGAGTATGTGCTTTAGTGCATCAAAAGTTTTGCCGTGAACAGCGTCCTCCCATACGAATTCTGTGTCTGTTTTCAGTAGATCTCGGAGGGGTGCTCTAATTTCTGAGAGGTTTGGCGCAAATTTCTGGACAAAATTCACCATTCCTAGTGAGCGTTGAATGTCAGCTTTGCAGGTAGGTTTCGGCATTTCTGGGATTGCCTTGATTTTCAAGGGATCTACTTTCAAACCTTCGCTTGAGATAATATGTCCTAAATATGAGACGGAACGCATTCTCAATTTTATTTTGTCCTTGTTTATTTTGATGCCCTTAGATCTGCATCTTTCAAGTAGGTTGGAGAGTTTTTTGTCATGATCGAGGATTGCTTTCTCCTCAAAGTTTCCGCAGCCATATATGACTATGTCGTCATGTATTGCCTTGATTCCTTGGAGACCCGATAGTGCTTCGTCCATTCTGCGCTGAAACTCTTCACTAGCTGGTTTGATTCCGAAAGGCATGCGGAGCCATCTATATCTACCCCAAGGTGTTCCGAATGTTGTCAGAAGACTGTTTTCATCGTCCAGAACGATGTGCCAGAAACCATCTTTGCAGTCGACAACAGAAAAAATCCTAGCTTTGCACAGTTCTGGCAATATGTCTTCCATAGTCGGTGTTGTGTAATGGTTACGTTTCAAGGCTTTGTTTAGCGGCTTTGGGTCAATGCACAGTCGCATTTTCCCACTGGGCTTCCTTACGTCTACGAGTGAGGAAATCCAGTCAGTTGGCTCCGATACTGGTGCTAACATACCTAGGTCTGTCAGTCTGTCGAGCTCATTTTTTAGCGGACCTCTCATAGCGATCGGGACCTTTCTAGTGGGAAGTTTAACGGGAGCAGTCGAACTGTCAATCTCAAGATGCAGCATTCCACTTAATTTTCCAAGACCATTGAATACGTCGCTGTATTTCTCTTGAATGCTTTTGTTTTAAATCTCGGAGTCGACGGCAGCAATGTTTTCTCTGTTGACCGTAATCATCTTCATTCCTTGAATTACCCTTGCTCCTAAGATTGGGTTCAAATTTCCTTGAACAACAACAATTTCAATGTTGTAACGTTTATTGTTTTTGTGATTTCGCACACTTAGTCTTCTTTTGCCAAGAGGGTGGCATTCAGTTTTGTTAAACATGACAAGAGTCATGTCTGCTTTTTGAAGCATGCTGAGATTAGGGTCATTGCATACCTGTTTATAGATTTCTTCGGGTTGTACATTCACGGTTGACCCACAGTCTAACTGGAATCTCACAGTTTTCCCTTCAATTTGGATTTCTGCATACAGTTTTTTCTCAATGGAATTTACGTTTTCAATCATGAGGATAAATTCCTCATCACTTGTATCATTGCTGATTTGTTTGAGGTGGCCACGCCTTGGTTTAAGTAGTGGGCAATTCGTTGAGAAGTGGTTCATCTGGCTGCATTTTCTACACCTTTTTCCCCATGCTGGACACACTTCTTTTCTAAAGGGGTGTTCCTTACCACAATATAGACATTCTTTGTGACTTTTAGAGGCAGTCTGAGATTGTTTAATTTCTTTCCTTGTTGTTTGTTTGGTTTTTGTAAATGTCTGCGGTTTGCTTGGCGATTTCATTTTTACGGCATGTACCTCTTCCATAGTTTTAAGCTGGGAGGTGGATTTTTCATTGGCCCTGCAGATGTCAACACATCTCTTTAAGTCCAACTTCGGTTCCTGAAGTAATTTTTTTCGCGTGTCATTGTCCTGTATTCCTAACACAATTCTGTCACGGATCATGTCATTTTCCAGCGCATCAAATTTGCACGTTTTTGCAAGTGATCTCAGAATTGCCACATATGTGTCAATATTTTCAGTCGTTTTCTGATCTCGTTTATAAAACGTATATTTTTCATAGGTTTCATTTGTTTGTCCAATGCAGAAGGCTTCAAATCTTTCTAGTACTATATCTATATCTTTTTTGTCATCTTCATTCTCAAACTGGAGGCCATCAAAAATGTCCAATGCATCAGGTCCAATGCATGTTAAAAAGGTAGCAGTTCTCATCGCTTTGTCTTTCTCCTTTAAGTTGGATGCAGTTTCGTAGTTAGTCCACATCCGCTTGAATTTTTTCCAGTTTGTTGAGAGATTTCCCTTGAGATCCAATTTTCCAGGTATTGGAATTGATGGATTCACAACAATGGGAACGGGAGCATTTGCGTTTCCCTCGTCACGCATGGTTTCCAGTTAAATCCAGAGATTCACAGAAAGACTCAGAAAAACACTTCTGACACCATGTAGAGTAATTGGTTCTAACACGTGTGTGTTCTACATGAGTTTATTGCAGACCGGCTAGTAAACAAAGTGCATAAAGATATAGCATGCAAACACGTGGTTACAGAGTGCACAGGAGATAGGGATAATCGCAGAATACAATATATACGTTACAGGAATTTGAGGAAACTTACACGGGACTGTACATTTTTATCCTTATTCAACTTAAAACTTTACAAATAGAAATTATACAACTGAGCTGTTGATATTTGTGCAGCAATACCAGCAAACTTTGGAATATATTGCTTCTTAATACACCTTGATTTAGTTAAATAAAATAGAGCATGTCCTTGCGCCGAAGCATTTTTTTGATGTCCTTTACAATCTTGTGTAGTAAAGAACAAAGACGTCATAATATGACTCATGTGTACTGGCTATCTCATGTCGTGGGTACCAAGTATGTATTAGACAATAAGTTTTAACTTTCTCTGTATAATAGATATAGTCCTTAGGAATTTTTATTAGTTGATTTGCAAGAAATGCCTTATACCTAGCCTTAACTCACCTGCGCTGAAAGGCAGTTTTTGAAAGCATGGCATGTATTAAGACAAGACCCCTATAAGATCCGCCATTTGCAATGTACTTTCGGTTTCAAATCTTAACATTTGGACAAAATAAACAGGGCAAACAACTTTCCAGAGCCTATCGAAGTCCAACTTGCCCTTCATTGATAAACATATATTGTTTCTGCAATGATGTCTTTCACTAAAAGTACGGAATTAATTAGGTTTTTTTTTTAAATATATGCATTTTTTTTTAAAGAATATTTCTCGATAAATATTTTTTAAGTATTGTTATCAAGTGATACTTTCTGTCTGTTAATCAATGATATATTTATAAACTATAAATGTTTTAACTTTATAAACCACATAGTTTTGGAGCTGCTGTTAAAATAAATTTTTGGACATGTTGACCTTTGACAAAACCTTAAAACTTAGACCTATATTCGGCACTCAGGGCCATTGAGCAGTGAGGGTTCTTGATCATGCCAACATCTACTACGACATGGGACCTTATTTGTTAAGGTCTCATATTTGATGTTACATAATTTGAGATAAAACACTGACTCTGTGTATGACCAAAACACCTAATTTCTGCATAAAATAAAAGTGCACAACAGCATGCTTGGTCTGCATAAACGTTTCATTTACGATCTAATAACTTCCTGTTATTTCAAAATTGAAATTATAAAAAGACGGTATGCGAAGTTCCGGATTAAGCGTCACCACATCTTAAATTCGTCAAATTCAAGAACAGTGCTTATTGATGGTAGACTTTAACACGTCTTTCATAAAAGCCAAAAAAAGAGAAAATCCTCCCTTGTGTGAAATTTTTCAGCGGGTGTGTTCAATTTGGTAAACTCTGTACACATCACCGATACGGACTGACAATACCGGTGAATTGGTTTTGCTTTCTCATATTTCTACTCTGAATTGTTGCGATGAAAAACCTTTGAACTTTTTCTTTGATGAAAATTTCTTCCGCATGTCAGTTGCTCGTGATTTTCACAAGTAGTGAATTTTTGTCGTTCAAGGATTGTAATATCTCTAGTAGTTGGTTCACACCTCCTATGCCAAAATGCAACTTTTTCTTTGATGAAAATTTCTTCCGAATGTCAAATACTCTTCTGATTTTCACAGGTAGTGAATTCTGGTTTACACTTAAATCTGTCGTCCAAGGATTGTAATATCTTTAGTAGTTTGTTCACACCTTCTGTGCCAAAATGCGACTTCAGCTCGAACAGAAGTCCATTGGTTATCTCGCACTGTGAAACACAGATTTCTTCCAAGTCCTGTTTTCGAATGTTTAATTTCTCACAGTATGGACCAGGGAAGTCCATCGTGTCTTGCTGAGACAGGGAAATCAGCAAAAGGCATGACCCCAATAAGGCGTGGAAACATCTAAAATTTTAACAAATAAAAAGCAACATACAATAAAGATACATCAAAATTTTGTTTGGTAAAAAGTAATTTTCTTAATCCCCCCCCCCCCAAAATAGGCCCATGAAAAATTCCCCCTTCCCTGTAAATCCAAAAATAAGTAAAATCGAAGTACTGATGGGAGTT